GAGGAGAGACGAAACGTTTCACTAAAGAAGAACCCATCCAGAGGACCTACTTATTTTTTCTTTTTGATGTATGGCAGATGAATGATAATCTCATTAACTCTGAACAAAAACTCTAAATTCAATGACAGTTTTAGGGTTTTTCACCAAGAAGACCCGCTTTTCCCTAATTCAGTTCTGACACAAGAAACTAATATCAGATATCTAATATCTAATAACTAAGAGCTTAAATAAGAGCATAAAGGTAGATGGTAGATGGTCAGCACATAACCTCAGAGTCCTACTTGACAACTGATGCTGCTCCTCTGGTTGGGTGGGGGGCGGGGACTGGTCCTCTGTCATTAGTGTTGTCGTATCTTGAGAAAAAGCTGTTCAGGTTTTGAGGAACAGATGGATCCTCATTGATCCAGTGACCAGTGCTCCTGTAGTCTGACATGGTCCTGAGTCCTCTCCACGTGTTCTGTGGGTTGTTGTTATTAAACTGCTCCTCATTGTACCTGTACCTGAATTTTGCCAGCCATATTCATTTTAAGGTCTCTACAGGCATTACAGTACACCTTCCTGTCACCTGACCTGCAGGGAGTGCAGYGTACCGTCTRGGCCTGGGCGATAAACCGAAAAATAACCGAYACTGACATTTATGTCAATAACCGACTTCATTTTGCCCGTGTTGGTATTTTTGGTATTTAAAAAAATGWGGAAARGAGAAACCTGMTCRTTTTCTGTTGCGGTCTCAAGCCGCCCAGTCTGATACAGACGTTACTTTCAACAAAWCAAACGAACCCCACAGCTTRGTTTATCCAATCAGAGCAGAGCAGGGCGGGTCTTTCTGACGTTGGTGCAGCAGTCTGCAGGATAAACACCGGTCAGCCTGCAGCTCCTGTCCTGAGTGAACAAACCCCATCCTCCACACTTTGCTCCTGAGCTACCTGAGACGTTGGTATCTAAAATCTAACACACTATAAGTTTGTGTTCAGAGCATCATTATCTAACAGATACTGTATGTCCAACTTTGCTCTCATGACCAAACTCCTCTCTTCAATAACGCTGTTATGAGAGCGYGCTGAGGTGCACACAGGCTGAGTTGTTCTGAGCTGCTGTTTCAGCTCTTCTAATGAAACAATATTAACTCTAACAGATGAACATTTCTTTGTCCCATATTATAGAAAAGACGAGTCTCCGCTTAGCATTACTATGTTACCGCTATGTAGTTTATCATAAACATCTACAAATTTCCTTCTTCACATTATATAGTAAGTAAGTAAGTAAAGTTTTATTTATATAGCGCCTTTCACAGAAATAAATTCACAAGGTGCTGTACATTCAGGGAAGGGGGGAGGGGGCAGTTAAGACAGGTCATGCAGCAAACACAGTTGCGCTACTTTTAGACAAACACAACAACAGAAAAACTAAAAACGACACAAGGGAAGATGAGGAAAAAAGCAGAAACATCATATTATATCAACACTGTGACACACTATGGTGTTTATGAAAAAAAACCTCTGCATAGAGCAAGATTATTAACTAGAGGAGTAAGTAAGTTTTAAGGGGCCCGAATAATCTAGTCCCCAAGGCCAGCGCAGCCGAAGTTCAGAATATTGATGGTGAATTGTTCATTCTGTGGGCCCTCAGCTTCCTCAGGGCTCAGATCATATGGGTAAAAGAGGACAGAGAAGGAGGGAGGGAGAGAGGGAGGGGGGGAGAGCCGTGTCAACATGTTCCAACCAGGAAGGATTTTGCCAACAGATCCAAGGCCGTTGCCAGGGAGATCCAGATTCTCTAATCAGTTGTTTGGGAACAGAAGAGTCAGGCAGATAASAACAATTTTCCCTCTGCCTTAATGTCTGCTGGAAACTCTCAAGGTGGCGAAATCCAATCAGACAAATGGTGTGGACGCATACCACCGAGCCGATCCATCAGCTTTCTCCAAGATGAATTCCGTCTGGCCAGCAAAGTCCAGGGACCACAACCGGCCCGCGGCCCTCAGTATAACCGCTTGCAGACCGAGTCCAGCTCACTCAAGGCCCAATGTCCAAGTGYTGATAGAATACGGCCATCCATCCAGTTGGTCTGTCAGCCAGGAGATGAACAGCCACCGAYGCTRTTTTGTAGAACACCAGGAGACCACCAAGCCAATCTGTAGAATCCRGTGATCGGATTCRAAATGTATATCCAGAACAAAGCAGAACAGCGGTCCCACCCTCGACATGTTCTCCCATGGAAGCAGAAAAATAAACTTTGTTCCAAAAATTTTATTGAGAGACCAGCTAACCAAGTCCATAAGAATAAAAATATCCATAATTTCAAGTTTCGGATGAAAAATGTAGAGAAGGCTCCTTGCAGCAAAGCAGGGAAAGATGAGGAAGGGCAGGAGAGAAGGGAGAAGCGTCTTACTCCTACGAGAGCGGGAAAAAAAATAAAAATTAAAAAACACTGGAGACGTGACCTCTGCTGAAGTGTGTGCGTGTGTCGTTGTGAAGGAGGCTAAGCTAAGAAGCTAASCGGAAATCGCGAGCGCTGTAAACAACCCTACTGAGAGGAGAAAAGTACCGAGCTGAACGAGACAACTGTAAATGAGAGCTGCTGCTTTGTCAGACTAATTTATTTTAATTTGGAAGCCTTATCAACACAGACTGGCTTCGTTCACTTCCTCCACTGCCGTACGCTAAACTAAAGGCTGGTTTATACTTCTTGTCACACGTCTTTTACCCCCCGCTGAAAAAAAGTTGTGCAACTTCCGTCTGCACTCCTGCTGCGATCCCCCAGTGACAGCTGTCCTATACATTGCCCCCAGTCAGCACTCCGAGACACGGAGGATGCAGTGCAGAGTGTGTGATTGGTTCTAAGTTTGCGGTCGTTTTTGTGCTGTTTGACACCGGTACCGCTAATCTCTTCCAGAGGCCGGTTTTTGTTTCTAAACGTGGATAGTTTCGAAGAGAAACTCACCGAGGTGGTCCGGAGGTACAACCATCTACTCCAAAACTGYGTCGGTGTGTGCTGAAGGTGAGGGGAGATCCGGTGGGGAAAAAAAAAAAACATCGGACATTTGAAATTAGGAGAAGTGTTCCATCTCCTGCATCTGTTGAACCAACAAGCTGCTAGTTGCTAGTTTAGCTTGTTGAACCAACAAGCTAAACTAGCAACTAGCAGTTTTTTTTATCTTTATTGAACCATAACGTGACAGTTATTTACATGCTAAGCYATGCGCAGTGGGAGGGCAGAGGGAGGGATTACTATAATGCATCCCCCACGTCTTTTCCCAGTATAAACACTCAATGCTGTCGGTGACACACACGCAGTTACCTCATCCCTGGGCCGCAGCCGCACGTCTTGCATGAAGTATAAACAAACCTTAACTAGCTGACGCTGYGCAGAACATTGACGTCATTCAAAACTCCGCCTTCTGTTTTTTGATTGGCCCAGGCAAAATAAACTACAAGCAGACACTGCGCAGAAAATCGACATTCTGTTCTCTGATTGGCCCAGCTAAAAATCTGCCAGCGAAATCCTTGTCTATGGGAGAAATGCCAGACGGAGCAGTGAAGTG